GTCGAGGACATTTAGCTCTGTTTTTCCCGGATCAAATGAAACGTGAGCATCAGGAACTTGTTAAGAATACACCGTTTATGAGATTAATCGAAGTCAAAGCTGGAGAAGATGGAACAAGAGTCGAAAAGGAAAATGGTGTTGGTGCTAAAAGGAATAAACATGAAAGCATTTCATTCAGTGTCAAAAACCTACTGATATAGTCCGTGTTAATGGAATCAGTGCGTTTTGTAACGGTTATCCAAGTAGAATTAAGAATCAAGTGAAGCACTCATGAATTTTATAGGTTGAAGATGATCATTATTGTCGTAATGAAAGTGAAGTTGATTATGGTGCATTGAAAGAGAATGGGAATGTTCATGAAATTGGTGGAAGATCGTTGGCAAAAAATAGATTTTGTGAAAAAAAGCAAAGATAATATGTTGAGATCAATAACGATGATAATATAGTAGTGGTATGTTAAATAACAATGATAAAGAAGAATGTGAGAATGGAGAATATAGAAGGGGTGATGATTGGTAAAAAAAAAAAAAATAAAAAATAAAAAATAAAAATATATATATATATATATAATAGGAACGTGTCACACGAACGATGAGGTAATTGAAACTTTACCCGTGTTGTGCGTTCAACTAGCCCGAAAGATCGAACTTGTCGACGAAACACCCATTGATGAAAATGTTGGGAATGGACCGAATAAACATCTGAAGTGAAGTAATAAAGGAGAGAGGTACGAGAAAAGGAATGCTATCTGTGACCATTTACGGTTTGGACCGAGAATAATATCGAGATTTGAGGCTCAGAATGTTAAAGACTTGTGTAATAAAAATCGAACATCAGGATTAAACCTTGGGTATTTAAATTGTTGTACCTGGATCAATTGACTGGGTATGATGATGAAAACTTGGAAAGCATGATCTTTAGATGTTGTTTTGAAAGGTTAAAGCTTGGAGAGTGAATGTTTAAACGTTATTATGTGCGAATTCAGTAAAAAAAAAAAGAATTCCTTAGTTCTTGCCGTGTAGGTTTTAATACCCGGCGATATGATTAGACGAGCCATATCCCGTGACGTCATAATTGCGTGATTGACGATATGATGCGATGCATAAAATTAATTTAAAGTCTAATACAGGTAGCCTAAAGCATGTAATTTGATTAATCAATGATCTAATATATAAGATATATAAGTGTAATGATCCCTTAGGGGCTACGACATAAGTTCCTATTGGTAATAAACATTTTTAGCGAATAACAGTGTACTATCGTCGTGGTCATCGCTGCGTCGTAGTCGTCGCCGTGTCGTAGTCGTCATAGCGGTGGTAGTATCCGAACGATGCTCCCGTCGAAGGAGCTAGTGAATATCTAAGAGGAATTCGATCAGAACTACCGTATACTAGAAACGTACACAACATGTGTTCACTTGTTTTTGGACTTTATGTTATCGGATCAAAAGTTTCGAAGGACAGAGTTGGGATCGAATATTGGAATCATTGTTATCGTTATTGAATTAGTCATTTTATATTGTCAAATTGTGTTACATTTACATTATTTATTGTAAAAGTTCTATTCAATTAATTGTACTATATATTCCTATAATATGTCAATTGGCATGATTTAGGGTGTTCTCAAGTGCCTCGCTCAATGGATCAGAGACAAAATTTTAATTAGTCGGAAATTGAATAATTAAATCAAGTGAGTTACCATGTCGATGAACGAATTAGCGAGATATATACCATCATTTTTTTTCAAAAATTTACCATTGATGGGTTGCTCAAGCATTATTACTTTTAATTTTTTATAATAAACAATGAATTCTCAACAAATTTCTAATCGATATGAAAAAAAAAATAGTCACTTTATTTGTAATTCTCGGAGCTTTTAAACAAACATTCGATACCTTGATATAAATGTAATAAAGATAATCCATCTTTTAACATTTAATCAAACTGTAATGAATACGGCTATTCCGTTTTCAATTAATAAAATTAAAATAATATTAATATTTGCAAGAAAAAAATTTTTTATTTCTTGTTGCTGTAATGCAACTTTCGCTAATGATTCCATAAATTGATTCTGTTGCAATTGCAAGAAAAGATTTAAATTGGCAAAATCATTAAAAGGAGAAGACGACGCAGCCGAAGTTATCTATAAATATCGTCGTTGATTGAGATGCTTGAGCATCATGATTATTATTTATGATAATTGATTGATTGAGATACCAAAAGTTTGTCATAAAATAAATTTCAATCAAAATACATACCGGCAAATGAAATTGTAAAGAAAGTTTAAGAGATTTTAATCGAAGTAGTTTTATTAATTTACATCTCAAAGTCAAATTTTAATTCTACACAATTTTAAATTTACGCCTATTCGAATCTGAGATATGATATATATAACTTAATTTTATTTTAACTATAAAAATGCATTTATTACAAAATTTGCAAATACTATTTATAATAATAACCATAGATAATTTCTTATTTCAATTAAAGAATTGGAATCATTTAACCGCGTAAAAATTATTCTATAGATCCGAGCCAAATATGTAATAATGAACCAAAATTAATTAGAAAATTTTTAGGCGATTCTAATCCCTAATTTTAATAGATATAAAATATGCTTTTATTCAGACATTAATCATTTATGCAACAATTTCTTTTTTAGATTACGTAACTTTTCTACACGTTTCTTATGATGATAAACGACAAAATTCAAGAACCCATGTTTGGTTAAGTCGATAAACTTTTTATTTTCAGGCATTTCTACGAATGTAACGCAACCATTTTTAATTTTTAATAATCCTCGATTATGTAAGTTGATGTTTCTAGAAAGTACAATTTTCACACCATTCTTGCCAATATTTTGATCGTTATCATTTCGATTTATTTGAATTTTTAATTCGCCACCATGAGCTAATCTTGTTACTATTGGAAGTTCTTTCGCGTTATCATCTTTTTCTTTCTCGTTATCATTTTCATTCGTTATCTTGACTATCGAATGTGCGTACACTTGAATTTTTATAATTATAGTTTCATCATCTTGTTCTATAGTGTAATTATCATGTTGACAACGTCTCAAGATACTATGTTGTCTAGATTCTATCGTGCCATCATAATCATTACTAATTGTCATTTCATCTGTGCGTCTAAAAAAAAAGCCTTTAAATTTTCTATATAGAGTATCATTTATAAATCTTAGAATAATCGTTTTGTCTTTACGCTTATCACGTCTAACTTCACACTCATTATTTATAGTCAATGACTTGAAGTTTTCAGTTAAATCTTCTTCATAAACCATTTTATCGTATGTGAGTTTTATAATATCTTCAATGTTTGTGGATCTTTTGTTATCTTCATTGTTTGTGGATCTTTTGTTATCTTCATTGTTTGTGGATCTTTTGGTATCTTCGTTGTCTTCGTTATTTTCATAGTACTTTAAATTAATAAGCCTATTTCCTTCAACTGACAGTTGCATGACGTCTTTGTCTGAGGGCACTTCATATTGCAAGAAGAACTTATCATGATTTTCCTTCTTTTTTAATATTGCATACCAGTAATGACCTGTCATTGCGTCTTCGAAAGTTTTATCTTTGATTTTTAAGTCGTTACTATTACCCTCTTCGATTTTTAAGTCGTTACTATCACCCTCTTCGTTTACCTCATATTCAAGATAAATTTTATCATCTTTGATTTTTAATTTTGTATTGCCATCTAATCTTAACTTTTTTTTTAAATTATTGATATCTTTATCAACCTCGATAATTTTGTAGTTGTCATCTTTCTGTTTATATTTACGTTCATTATTTGAATCATTACTTAAACCTTTAATAGACAAAGAACCATTTAGGTTTACCCTAGATAAATAGATGGCTCTTTTGCCTTTATTATTCAGTGCGTTACATTTTAGCACTCTTTTATTAACAAGGTAAACCTCTCCATTTTTAAAATTTAATTTCCAGTTACCATCCAGGTTAATATTATCATTATTTTGTGCCTTTTTTATTTTTATTAATTTACTGTCTTTTTCGATCAATATTGATATGTCTTGGTCCGTAATATCATCATCTCCATCCTTGATATCGATTTTTACATCGGAACCATCATCATCTGAAACTTTTATACTTATTTTAACACTTCCATTAATACTTATAAAATCATTTGCCCTTTTACTGCCAAGTCGGAGTTGTTGAACTAATTTAATTTGGTTATCTTTGATGGATAATCTTGCTTTCCAGTAATTCCAGTCATTCTCCCATTTATTGTATCCTATTTTCCCTTCTCTATTGTCTTGTATTCTCCCTTTTCTATATAAGTCTATTTCCTCTTCATCAATAATGTTTAATGTCTCCAAATCCATTAATTTATCCATTGATTTATCTTTCTGATTTATTTTTTTGATTTCATCTTCAACAATGCTTAATGTTTTATTATACAATGTTTTTGGTTTTTCTTGATCTTTTTCGATATATTTAATTTTTCTACATATAATTTTAAATGATCTAGATTTTGATGTGAAATATTTCTGCTTTTTATTTACATATCCCACTAAAGAATTTGTCCATGTATAATATCCATCCGAAAAATTCATAAAGAGAAAAAATGCAAGAATTCTTATCGGAAGACTAAGTTTACGTTTTAAATAATGAGCTTCTCGAATATTTTCTTTATAATCTATAATCCTGTGACAATGGCTCTCATCATCAACTTCCATTATATAATCATGAATTACTCTCTAATTAGAAAAAAATGCTGCTACAGCTCTTGATAAGACCATACCAACAAGAAAATTAAATAAACTATCAATTATTTCACGTGAACAAATATACGCATATGCGAAAAATACTTGAATTATTGATAAAAATAATGTTAAAAAGAAAACTCGAAAAGGAATAAAATTAATATGAGATTTAATTTTAATACAAGCATATCTAGCACGTTCAATTTGAACATGAACATCTTCATAATTATTACTTTTATGTTTCCAAACATAACAAGTTAAATAAATTGATAATAAAAGATAGGCAACATTAATGAAAAAACCTAAAGCGTTTGCATTAATAATATAATTTGCTTCATTTTGCATTGGGTTTAATCTCACAAAATAATCATAATATAGACCAAAAATATTAGTTGCCAAGATTGCAATTGCACAAAATAAATGTGCAAATGCTGTAAGAAATTTTAAATAAAATTTCTTATTTAATGATATATCATAACGATAATTAAAATCATGGATTATAGATAAAATTATCCATGAAAAAATAATCCAAATTGCTAATATAATGTACCCAAATTGTGTTCTAAATGCATGATTATTTAATCTTCCGCATATTTGACCAATAATATAAAATGGTATTACTGGTGAAAATCCAAAAAATAATATTACTAAATCATCGAGGAAAAAAGTAAGTCGCCATCCAAAGGATGATCGGACACCATAAATTGAGATAGTGAATAAAATTCCACCATATGTTATAATTTGACCAAGTTGAAGTAAGGCTGTATTATAGATGCGAAATTCACTATAATCACCTGAAGGACACGAACCATTTTCATGAGGATATGCAAAGAAATACATGAAATAGGTATCATTATCATCAGCGAAAGTGGCTGGTAAATTAATGATAGCGATGATAAATAGTAATAATAACGTATAATAGTAATTCATGATAATTTTTTAAATTTTGAAAAATCAATAACTAAAATATCTTTTATAAAATTGTGAATAAAAAATTTTATGTCTAGAGAACGACGTAGAGTGAAATTAAATTTTGAAATGCATTATTTTAAATAATTTTTTTTTTTACTAGTTATTGTGTTTATTTATGAATCCGGATATAGATGTTAGAATATATGATTGTAGTTTTTATTACAAAGTTATTTATTAGGTAAAGACCAGTTAGTACTCGTTTTATTATAATTAGGAAATATTTGATTTCAATGCGCTAATTTCCCATGGCATATTACTAGCCATAACTCTAAATTATTTTTTTCACACGTACTAAATGTACGGTACAAGAAATCTAAAATTACAATAACCTTTATAAAAACTAATTACCATTTTTTTTACAATAACACCTGCGCGTTATTTTGGATTTGAGTGATCCTTTCTAAGTCATGAATTAATGTTCACCCGGGTGATACCAGAAATTTTACGAACGGGTCACCCGGGGCAGGATTTAATTTTACAAATAAACAAGTGCAAATTTAGTTAACTCAAATTTAGGGTTAGGGCGTTGACATTAGAAGTTATAGTCATACTGTTGCCCATTGTCATCAATTGCGCCAAATGTGGCTTGATATATTCAAGGCGCTAAATTTAATATAAAGATCCAAAAGATTCCGAATGAATCTAAAATAAGTTATCTCAAGAATAAAAACCAACCTTTATTCCAATTTTATGGCATGACGCAGGTAAATGTGGGTATTATGACGAATGTGGGTAAAATGACGAATTTAACACATCACAAGAAAACAGAATTTTTTATTAAAAATCAAATTTAATCAACTGAATGAAGTTGTTTGAAATGCCATCTTTTTATTCAGTGATGGGACTTACCGTGTCGCGTGATGCATTATCGTTATGTTAAAACAAAAATTATAGATTTACGCCTAAATTTCTAACCCCAGTAAGCCCCATCACTTACCCTCAAATTTTGGCGCATTACGGGATAACTTCTTATACGTAATTTCAAATTTTTTTTTGTCATAAGCATTGGCGCAGAAATTAATTTTTTTATGCGCCAAAGCGTATAACGAAAAGCTTATAAATAAAGTTATCGATAATGCACCAAAATTTGAGGAAAGTATTTTAACAACTTTACTCAGTAAAGTTCGATTTACTTAGTAAAAAAAAAAAAAAAGGTTTAACTAAAAATCGTTGAGATAAAGGTCACATGAAAAAATTATAAAAAAAAGGTTCGTCATTTTGCCCTCGCGAAATTAAAAATCGTAGCCTTCTAAGCAACATCTCATGATTG